GGGAATTTGTTTGGTAAAAAAAAAAAAAAAAGAAGGATGTTGCTGCAGTGGGCACATGAGGAGAGAGAAATTTCTTTCCTCCCCTGCAGGGTTCAAAGAAAGGGAGTTTCTTTGCCTCCAAAGAAGAACAACTATTTCTATTATATATTTTTAAAATTGCAACACACAATCTTAACCTGCAGTGTTTGATAGCAGGGTCACCTCATGCACCTGTTAACTTGTGTTGGCATGTCCTCACTGCTTCAAATTTGAAGGGGGAAAGAAAAGGATCAATTTATTTCTTAAGGGAAAAAAATACTTCATGTTTTCTCCACAAGAAACATCTTAGCAAAAAGATAGTAAACCAGAACTGTTCATATTCTATCAATTGCATCAGAATTCTTACTGGGTTCACTTTCTGTTTGAGTTTTAGCATGTCTTTATCAGGAAATTTTTCCAACATCAGTGGAGGAAGGACTCCTGCCTCCTCTGACCTCCCCTTCTGGGCACGTAGAGATGTTTGGTTACTCAATGGTTTTATCAAACCATGACTAGATGTCACCAAGAGCCGTGGATGTATTTTCACTGCAGGGTGAAGAATTGCAGCCTCTCGTACTAATCATCAGAAAACCATTATCAAATAACACATTCGTTAGGGGCTGAAGCACGCCAGGCAGATGTGCCAACAGTGATGAATGTCCCAGACACTGAGAAATGTATTATTTTAAGAACACAATTACTGAGCTTCCACAGGTGAGCTGCATGTTGCCAAAGCAGCAATCTGTTGCAAAAATTAGTCTGTTTGTGGGTTTAACAAGGCTTTAATAAATGAAGCCTTTTATCATTAGCATTTATGTAGAGTTGCACTGGTTTTACAGAACTATCATGACTTTCTTCCTCTTCCCTTAAAATAAAAATGGAAATTGAATATGCAGGAATGGGAGATGCATTTTGCAGGGAAGTTGTCCTGCAAAACAAAGTCTAGCTCCAGTCCTAGTGATGAGACCAAGTTAACTACCACATCAGTTACTATTGTGGTTTGTTGTTTTTTTCCCCAAGAAAAGACCTTGCAAAATCCAATTCTCCACCTGTGCAGCTTCTTTCAGTTTTGGACAATGTGAAGTATCCCAGAACATTGTTACTAGTTCATGGTGCACAGGGTCTGAGACCAACTTCAGGCATCAGAGGTACTGCACTTGGGGATGTATTTGAAGCAGAATACACCAAGAGGATTTACTGGGGATAAAGGAAGGAGGAGAAATGGGAACAGGCAGGCTGGTCATTTTTGCTGAAGTAAACCTGCCATGGGAACACTGGCAAGGACTGCTCTTAGCTGGATTTTTTCTCCTTTTGATTTGCAGTTTTGTTTCTGCTTTGTTTTGCTTCATGTATTTCTTTTAAGGTCCATTGTGGTGACTGTTTGAATCCCCTACTGCACATAATTATTTCAGTTGGTTCTTATTGCCATTGGCTGATCACGTTGCAAGTGGAGAAGAACACCTGAAAGGTGTTTTAAGCTGCCTAGATGACAAGAGAAATCTTTGTACCCGGTAAGTGCATTGCCCTGAGCCCTGCAAAAAATGAAAATGCCAGTAACGTGCAGTACCCAGAGGAAGAGAGCAGCTCTGTACAGATGCACTTTCCTCCATAAGCCTGGCTAGTGTTTCACTTAATTTTGCTCGCAAGGAGTGTTGGTGATTCTTAAAGGATTACATGTAAGTGTCTGAAGTCTCTGCTGTAGTTTGCTAAGTGGGAGATTCCGCCATTTGCAGCCAACAGTGCAGACCGCAGGGTTTCCTGTGTGTGTGCAGATAATTTGAAAGAGGGAGGCACTGACTTCATCTTGGTTTTCAACACTGGGTCACTTGTATCATTACAGGGGCATGTTAACTTTTTTAATAGCACACCCCTTGTGGAGTATTGAAGTATTCCCATTTTAAGAAAACCATTCTCTCCATGAATTGAGAGGGTGTGTTTCCTCCAGTTCAGCTTCCAGCACTTGGGGAAAACAAAACTGAACAGTATTTGGGTTGGTGGAAGTTTGGCATTTCATTAATATTAGTTTTTAGGAATTAATGGGCTGGGCAGTTGAGCCTGAACTGCAAGAAATGGTCTTTTCCTGTCATGCCTGGTCACCAGGCTCCTGCAGGAGCAGTGGCTGCACACAGCAGCTGAGTTGGTATAAAGAGTGGGTGGCATGGCTGGGCAGGTGGCCTGTCCCCAGTGTCACTGTGTCCTCAGCAATGCTTCACTCTGGCAGTTCCAATGTATGTGGTCATGCTTGACATTTATAATCCTGTGTTTTCATGCTGGCAAAGACTAAAGCTTGACCAGATGTTTAGGACAGAAATCCAAACCTGAAATTTCATCACATGGTTTATTTAATGTATTATACCAAAAACAATTTTGGTTCTGTTTTCCAAAATAGTTTGGGATTTTTTTGTGTATTTATGTGCAATTTTTCTTGTATCCCATGGAAAGAGTATTTTAAAGCAGCAGTATGAAATTTTATGCTGTGTGTTAAAGCAGAGAGGCAATTGTCTTTCCTTTCTGGGGCATTTGTGTTGGAGGATGTGGGAGGAATCCATCCGAGTGTTTGGTGCTTGCTGGTGTTTGTACGTTGTGTCACACTCCTCCCTCCAGCTCTGCTGAGCCCTGAGCAGCTCTAGGGGCTCAGTGAGGTCACACACTCCAGATCAGGCAGCACAGGCACTTGGCAGCCCTGATGGTTGGGGCAAAACAGCCATGGTTTGGGTCTCTCCCTTGTGAAGGGGAAGGCTTTCCTAAAGGCCCCAACCTCCGTGTATCTGATTTATTTTAAGCAGGCCAATTCTTTACACCAAGAACACCTCTGTTCTTGGTCGTGACACGATGGCATGTAGTATTTTTACCCTTTTATGGCTATAAATGGTTCTTTGAAAAAAGGTTTTAGAAACAGAGGACTTTTAAGGTGACTTTGGACATCTAAAAGTTTGTTTTGTATAGATATTGTGATGTTTTACAAAGCGATTAATTTTGTTATTTCTGAAAACAGTGTAAACGTGTAATTAATAGAGTAAAGGATTTTAAAGCTTCATCCCATGCTGTATGTCTGTAAATACATTCCATAATTTCTAAGTCTGTTACATATAAATGTGTCTGAATATTGTATACTTTATTTTAAATTGCCTGTATTCTGCCAGTAGTGTGAACTTCTAGCACATTGATAATATAAAAGGAAACCATGGGTAATTTGAAATAAAGTTTTAAAACTTACATGAATTACTGCGTTTCTTGCTGCTGTTTTTCTGTTGCATCAATGAATGTCACATCCTCTGTGTTGGGTGTTTATTTCCCCTCCCCTGTCATCACAGTTGGCAATGAACCTGGTTTGTTTCCCTAGTTTTCAAAGTTAACCAGGAGGGAAAAGCTGGGATGGCAGCGTGGCCATGGTCCCCAGGCAAGGGCTTCTGTCCCCACCTGGGAGGTGTGAGCTCATGGGGGGGTCAGTCTGGTTAAAAATCTTTGCTCCTGTCACATTGGTTACCCAGTGGCCAGGATGCTCGTGTTGGGACTTGAGATTTCAGCACCCCCCACCTTGCTGGAATAGCAAACCCTCTTCTACTGTTGCCTTTTTTTTTTCCCCAGGATTGTATTTTGCTCTTTGCTGAAGAGCAGGCAGAGCCCCGCAGGTGCCGCGCTGCAGGTTTCAGGTGTTTGGTATGAAGAGTGCAGACCTGCTGCCCCTCCCTGCTGTCCCACGCTTTCCTTAGCTCAACACCTCTGCAGGGTTTTATGATCAGACCCTCAGGATCCCAGCGGGCGGCAGCTTCCCCGGTATCCCCGGTGCTTCTGGAGTGTCCGTGCTCAGCCCGGGAGCAGCCGCTCGTCCCGGGCGGGGGTCGGAGCCAAAGGCTCCTGCCTGGGAGCTCAGTTGTCTCACCTGGGCTTGCAGGGCTCTTGGCACAGCCCAGCTCGGACGCGGGGATGTTCGGGCAGGGCCAGCTGGGGCAGGTGACAAAGCGCAGCAGGTTTGCAAGGTTGGATCTCGTTCTGGGAAGGGTCTTGCAGCAGCCCCGGGTCAGGGCTGGGTCTGTCTCGGAGTGACAGCGGTGCCAGGAGGGGTTGCCAGGAGGGGCT